TGATGTTATTACAGGAAAATCAATGTCCCTCTTGTTGTTCTCTGGGGCTGTGCGGGGTGTATGCACATCTGCTCTCATAATACAACTGCTGACCTTGCTGTCAGAGAGTGAGGCATAGAGAGGTTGCAGCGAAAAGGTTGCGGCCGGCCGCTTTGTTTATCGAAGCTTTATCAAGCCGCTCGGACCTCTCGCAGACGTGTGACATCAGACCGCGAGTCAGCCGGCTGGCCTCAGCTGAGAAAACGCCGGAAAATGTCGACGGAGGATGAAAACCTTCTTGAGGTCACAGCGTTCATTCAGTCTCAAGAGTACAATGTTGTACTTACCCACTCTTCTAAGAAAATTTCTGACATAATCACTAAAAATGATTTCTGTCCTCTTCGCAACCTCATTTTTACTACTGTAATTCCTTTCTTCTCTGAAATTACAATGTACCTCCTAGGTGACCTTTTGACCTCCCGTGGAGGACATGTCCATATGATGAGTGGGGGAGGGGGAGCTCTGGGACAGAAAGACTCCCTTTAACCCAGTGAGTGTGTCCTCTTTTGTCCTCTCGTTTTTCTGTGAACTCGATGGGAAGTCAACAAAACAGGGAGCAAATGCTAACCAAGGACATGCAAAGGGGGGGAAAAGGTTCAACATACCATCAAAAAAATCATTTCAAACCTGTAAAATCCAGATTTAAGAAGATTTGAGAACAAATAACCTTTTATTTTGGCTTAATATAAAAAGATATCTGAAGTATATATAGATATATAGCAGAAAAGCGTGTTTTTGACAATAGTTTATATTTTTTTTGTATGATTGACACTCATTTTTGATTTGTTTTATTTTCTTTTTCATGGGATAAAGCACATTAATAAACATGAATAAGTAATGTAAATATGCCAGATTTATCCAAAGAGACACTTGTTCAAGCTTAACGTCGGAAAATCAGTTAGATTATTATCAATATAATTGAGTAATTATAATAATAATTGTTATTATTAGCTGCAACACCAATACTACTACTACTACTATAACTACTAATAATAATCATTAGTGAGTAATCACAAGCAATACAGCTATTTGGCATTTAAACTACACTTTTATGCTTAATATGGTCATGTAATGCAACCCTTGAATCTATTATGATGTAATATATATAGAAAGAGAGGGGAATAAAATAGAACATAATAGAATAGAAACAGCATTTATTTTATGAAATTGTAGTGTAACAGCAGCATCAGGTATAAAAGTTCACATAAAAAGTGTCAAAGCAAGATATAAAAATCAAGATTAACAGTGAGAAGAATAATAGTAATAATAAAAATATTCGGTACAAGACTAAAAATACTGTGCAATCATTACAAATAAAAATTTAAAATATCCAAGGGATGCGCAACTGAGTTGGATCACTTCTCCAAAATGTTTTTTTTTACACAGAAACACACACACATATATACTCACAAAAAATAACGCAACAACTTAATACTTAAGGTATTGACTTGCTTTAAAAAAACTTTAATTCCCATCTTTTGACCTATATAGCTAAATCAAACTCCTTAGTTTGATTTAAATGTTTTTGTTTGTGTGCCCTCGCCCCCTTTACAAAAGTTTCTGGAAGCGCCCCTGGTGCCTCTCCGCTCTGCTGGAGGGGAAAAACTCCAGCGTCTCAGACCGTGCTAGACAGACAGACAGACAGACAGGAGGACCGACAGACGAGAGACACCCCCGCATAGTTTCCGTCAGCCGGGTGACGTCTCCGCCTCTCAGCCCGTGTGCAGTGTGACGTTACGGGGCTGTAGTGGAGCCTCTATCTGCATCTTGTTGACGGTCCGCCAGGCTTTTCCAGTACTGAGAAGACCCCGGAGTGGAGAGGACGACGCGGACGTCGTTCAGGCAAGTGATCGCTACTACAAATACTACTGCTAATGATGATCATAATGATAATAGAAGAGCATTGAGTTTTTAAAACAGGTCGGTTAAAGCGGGGGTTATTGAAGCGGAATACGGTTTGTGATTAACGGTTGGTTTTGCTCCGTTCAGCCGCCGCGAATGGAGGGGGTGAAGCTAATCTCCTTTAGCCTCCCGTATCGCTCCCTATCAGGGGGAGGTGAGCCCGCTGGAATATTAGCGCTGGGTTATCCTGCTTATCGGTCACTATGCCGGGGTAACTCGTCCTAGTAAGCGCCCCGGTGTGAGTCGGTCGAAGCGGACACCGTGGTGTGTGTGTGTCAGTCAGCTGGTGTGTGGACGGAGCTCGGTGGGTCAAGCTTAATTTAGCCTGTCCGAGCTCCATTTAACTGGGAATAACCTGGAAATTCACTCCTTCCCAATCAGTTTTCATTTCTGCTGATTTCTCTTTAAATAAGCCAACAGGCAATTTATTCGAGGATGTTTCTTATTTCTTTTAAATCTTTTGTAAGAACGAGTTCACAGCTCCAAATGTGGAATATTCCTAGTCTTGTTTCCGACCGCAGCGCCCGTCCGATAAACGCCGCGGTCGGAAACCCAACCGTGCCCTCAGCAGATCGGCGTGTGCCAGACCAGACTGTAGCGTAGACAGTGAATGTCATTATCAGCACTGTCTGCATACCAGAGCCGAGCCAGAGGAGAGCAGCTACAGACTGAGGAGGAGGGGGGAGAGCAGGGGCATTACGCGGTGTCCTTGCAGCAAAAACGATACTAGAAGTGGAGGGAGTGACATTAAGGAGATCAAGTTTACGGATTTTTGCGAGGTTTCTCAGACGGATGCACATGCTGTTTGGAGTGAAGCTCTGCGGGCGATGCGCTTTCTGCCGTGAATTAATGGATCTTAACGAACCAAGGCTGAAGTTAGCGTCCGATTCGCAGCTTGAATAAAGGACTATTTCGCCGCATTAAACGAATCTGGTCAAGCTTGAACTTGAAAGGGGCGATTTTGAAAGGCGTCATATTTAAATTTAGACAGGTCAAACTTAGAAATGATTATGAAAATGTAGACAGTCCTCAAGGGCCAGTATCCTGCATGGTTTAAATGTCACTTTGGTTCAAATTAATGGTTCATAACCAGAGGACACCGGCCCCTAAGGACCGGAGCTGGGCACCCCTGCTGTATTCAAAGAAAAAAACAACCCAGAATTGGCTTCTATCGCACTTTTTTTTGTTGTTATTTTAGTTTTAGTCAACACCTTAGGTGATGCCCTTCTTGAAAAACGATACCACCCAGAAAGCTCAAACCTGGATAGAATAGATCTAGACTAATGAGATATTCTTTAAAATACAGTTTGTGATTCCCAAAACGTCTATTTTGTTTGTAAAAGTGAAAATATCTGCAATTTGAAGTCATTTTTTGCATCTTCAATGTTCTTGATAGGGATAACCTTGAAAATAGTACCTAGACAGGTAAAATGGACAGAGATGATAGACAAAGATAGGACAAAATTATGCTGTCAAATAACTAATTCTATAAAATACAGTTTTTGGTTTGGAAAACCTTTAGTTTGTTTGGAAAAATATATAACTTTGTGTTTGTTTCACTAACCTACTGTAAATATGGGCCGCAGTATGAAAACTGCAATTGCTAGATATTTCAAATCTGGACAGAAATACTCTCAATCACCACATTGTTATTTATTAAATCTCTGTTCTATTTGTAAAATATCAAAAAGCTTATTTTTTTTTTTCTTTTTGGAACACTTTTTACTTCTTCATTGCCTGGACAAAACTGACCACATTGAAAAGCTAGGCGACGAAGAAGAAAACAAGCTTTAAAATGGTGCTTTTCCAATTTGGTTTTTCATCAGGTTAATTTTTTAGCGCATTGTAATCATCCTTCAGTCAAGTACCTACTTGAAAATTTTAGATCGGGTGCCAACTTCAGCGTCATCAAAGGAGTCCTGAGAAGGTGGCTCCTTGTAGCCCACAAATATTTCAGATTACAGCGCCCACACACATCAACCTGCTTAGACTTGGAGAGGAAAAAAAAAAAAAAGAGGTATTTCCATTTTCCAGAACGATGCAAACTACTCATAACCCGTGGGAAAATGATTAGTTGATCATAAAGCCGTAGTGCCTTATTTTCCACTCTGTTGCTGCACTTTCTATCATTTCTGCATTTTAAATTGTGAACACCAGATTTAATTATTCATCTTGATATAGCGGGACTTTTGACACTTATGAAACTGCAAGTCTTGGCTGGTTGTACCGCTTTTATCAATTGTTTTGCACTGGTTTGGAAAGGACTCTTTCATTTGCAAAGTTATTTTTCACTCAAAAAAAAAAGGCAGAGTGGTAGAGGATTTTGCACTGTTGAGTCTTGGTAAACTGGTTTGTTAAAATTCTCACTCTGCGCTTGAGAATTTGGTTTGAAACCCTTTGGTTGGACTGCCTGATGTAAATTTTCTCCTGTGTTTGTGTGAAGTGGGTTAATGGCCATTTGGTTCAGTGGACCATGCTGGAAGCCTCTGACCTCTGCCGTCCAAAGCGGAGGCAGCATAAAACATTACACTCTTTGTGAACCTTTACCGCTCTGAAACAATTTTCAATTATCTTTCATATCAGGAACAGGATGTATAGTGCCTTTGCATGAGTAAAAAATTCATAAAATGTATATACGACATCTACAAACTTAAGACTTTTATGTTAGAAAACAAAGTAGTGCCACCAGGAGGTGAATACGTGGTTTTCAAATACTTTTACAAATAAAAGTTTGAAGAATGCAAGAATGCAACTTCAGACTGAGGTGGAAGTTCACGTCTCTAAATATGCTGCCAGAGCTGCAATGAAGTGGGTTCGATCAAAGTATAGCCATGTCGTAAAAGGGTCCAGTCAAAGATTTGCAAAGTACTGATTGAGAGGGATTCAATGTAAATACCTTCAACCCTTTTAACATAATTTTTATATCCCTTTACTTTGTTAGTGTATCACATTAAATCCCTAATAAACTCCAGTAAAGTTTGTGTAAAGGATGTAAAGACGCTACAGCGAATAGAGTCGTCTTTTCTAAACTACCTTCTTTGTTTTTTTTTTGTGTTTAGACAGCGGATCAGAACCTAGAGACCTTCCGGAACCATCATGCATGTGTGCAGCTACCAGAAGACTTTCATTTAGTAAAGACTTGAGGGGGTAAAACGGAAACCAGGAAAACAAGGAACAGACGACAGAAGAAAAAGCGAAGGACGATAATTCCCACACTCGGACATGGCCAGCACCCAGACCAGTTTGAAAACCCCTTTTAAAGACTTGACCTCCTTTAAGGGCAACATGAAGCGGCTGTACAGGGAGCGGATGGAGGACGCGCCCATCAAGAAGCGAGTGATGGCAGAGATCAATCTGAAGAGGCGCGGCTTGGACTCCCTCCCAAAACTTCCCAAGGTGAAGAAGGAGCTGATGGAAGATCTGACCCATGAGGCTGAGATGGACGCCGAGGCACGGAGCGAACTGCACATCGTGGGCTCTGTGAAAGCCCTGGACCTGAGTCCTGGTCTCAAACACACGCTGGCCCAGTTCACCCTCAGCAGCCAGAGCTCCCTCGGCGGCCCGGCCGCGTTCTCGGCCCGAACGGGCCACGAGAGTTCCCCTGCAGGACTGCCGCCCCTGCCCTCCCCACCTGTTCTGGGAGGGGGCCCTCTCCTGGTTCCCTGCGACAGCTCCACCGAACTCACCCACTCTCTGCTGGAAGGAGAGTCCATCTCCTGCTTCGTGGTCGGCGGCGAGAAGCGGCTCTGCCTGCCTCAGGTGCTGAACTCGGTGCTGCGGGACTTCTCGCTCCAGCAGATCAACACCGTGTGCGACGAGCTCTACGTCTACTGCTCCCGCTGCGACGCCGAGCAGCTGCACATCCTCAAGGTGCTGGGCATTCTGCCGTTCAACGCGCCGTCCTGCGGCCTCATCACGCTGACGGACGCGCAGCGGCTGTGCAACGCCCTGCTGCGTCCCGGCGCCGCCCTCCCCACCGACCCCAGTGGCAAACTGTTATCTCAGGGCCTGCTGAAGGAAAGCGAGGCCAGCTTCCAGGTGGAGCACCAGTGTCTGGGCAAGTGTCAGGGTCTCTTCGTGCCCCAGTTCTACACCCAACCCGAGGCCCCCTGCATCCAGTGCGTTGAGTGCCAGCTGCTCTTTTCGCCACAGAAGTTTGTCATGCATTCACACAAGTCACCTGATAAGAGGACCTGCCACTGGGGCTTTGATTCGGCCAAGTGGCCCTGCTACCTGCAGCTAGCCAGGAAGTACCAGGGGACTCCGGAGGAGCCCAGACTCAAGCAGCTGCTGGACGAGGTCAAAGAGAAGTTCCACTATCAGCTCAAGAGTTCCCTTGACAAAGTAAGTCAGCATTGTTTGTGTTGTGTGCTGTGTTAACTCTTCTTGTTATCTGCTAAAAATCTTGCTCTTTCCTTTAACTCTGTCACAGCCTGAATGAGGCCAACTTGTCACTGAATAGTTTCCACATCAGTGCGCCTCATTGATTCTTGAAATAGCTAGTTAGCTTCCAGTCTTCTTCCATCATTTGCACCTTCCACATTGAAGGGTGTGCTTGTTACTGCACCCTAGTCAGATGAGATCGTATTGCTGGTTGGATCTCAGAGTTTCTGACCAAATGTTCAAGGTGAAAATTGTCATACTCTGGAGGCTTATATAATAATAAAAAAAATTAATAATTTTTTGTGTTGGGAGGTATGTGTTTGATTTTTTTCTGCAGTGTGTCCTGTATACAGTCCCTACAGGAAGTAGTGATGTTGTGATCATGACTATTAAAGCAAATTCAATCATTTGAAAGTTTTGCTCAGACTTGCATTTTCACCATTCATCTTCTGCACATCTGACAAATCACCTAACATTTTCAGTATTTCCTTCTTTTCTGACCAATCACTGCAACTCCGCTGAATTTCGACCAATCCCCAATAGCCACCCTTCTAATTTCATTTTTCTCAGCATCTCTTGAAAGCTGAACCTGGAAGATAGAAGCATGTGTGTAACATTTACCTGTTTTTGTTTGGTTGTTTTGTTTCAAAAACCATTTTGAGATGTTCTGTGGGATTTATTGATTCTTCTTCTGCACCTTAACAACTCCTCAGGACAGTACTGTATTTTTATCAAGGGTGCAACTGAAGAATGTACTTGAAAATGTGATTTATACTTTAAATATGTTAATTTCCTGTTTTGTTTTGGTTTTGGGAGATTATGTGCCGCAATTTCAACTTTTAGGTCGCAACAATCCCCTCCAAAAAAGCATGGCTGCCTCCTGGAGGGACTGTATATGTGGCTGATTTATTAGGCTGAAGCAGACTGCCTTATGGTCGGTGTTTTCTTAAACCAATGTTGACCTAGAGTGTGTCTGAGTCCCGGGACAGGTGGTGACATCTGCTTCACCAGGTCTGATCAGACCTAAGTTAGTCCAGCTGGCTACAGCTGAGGAGGAAGTGCATCATTTGTCCCCTCAGGGGTCACCCGCAGGTCAGTGGGAATGGCGCTCAACAAAAGGTTCGGCGTAGGAGGTTTAGGGACGCCTGAATAGAAATGCTGCTCCAGTTTGCCTTCAGTAAATTGGAACCTCTTTTTTCATAAATGCCTTTGCAGTTAAATAATAACATAATGTTCCCTAAACAAGCTTATTTTGAGATTTTTTTATTTTTTTTTCCAATCTAAATTTTTTGTCGGGAGTAAGTGTTTCTTGGAAAAAGGAAAATATCTGCACGCAAAAGCTATTTTTCAGAGTCCCTTCACCTGGAGGCCAACCTGAAATTGAAATTGCTTCATTGAATTTCTTCAGCTCATCTCTGAGGCTCTGAATTGCTTGATAGTTTTCCTTATTCTGTTTATACTTGTGGCGGCTGAAGGCGGAAAAACACGTCAATATATGATCAAAGCCACAAGGCCAGCAAGTCTATAAAAAAGTCAACAGTCGCTGAGGGAAAAGCTGTAGATTTTCTCCCCCTGCCATGAAGTGGTTTATGTCTCCTGACCTGCCTTTGACCACAATGGGAGCCCCCTCGTCCCCCCTGCTTCACTCTTGTATTGTCTCTGGATGTTTTTGTCTGTTCGCTGCGGTTTGTTCACGCTTTGATGCACAAATGGAGATAATTTTTCCCCTTACAGTCAAAGCAAAACCAACAACCCTCACTAACATGGTTTACTTGTCACCTTTCCTAACAAAGCGGCTGCTTATGTGCGCAGAGATGGACTCCAAAACAAACACACAAATGTTTGTGTGTTTGGGAAACAGACAAATGATTTCCCTCTTCCGTGTCTGGTTGACTTGGAGCGTGTGGATGCGGCGGAAACGCCGTCTGCTGTCTCGTCTTGCATCCTAACCGCATTCCTGTTCCGCCCCTTTCCCATCCCTCCGACTCGGAGGTTTCTTCTCAGAGGTTGGAAAAAAAGACGTCTTTTATTGCCGCAACGGAAATGCACTCAGTGAACAACAATGGACCCGGGCGACAACAGCACCAAAGCATCATGTTGGATTATAAGTCCTAACATCTCGGTGTGCTTTTTTTATGTGTCAGACGGTGTTGCTCCATGTACGTGCTTGTGTGTGTGTGTGTGTTTGTTTGTAATACCTTGTGGGGACGATTTTCCTGACATATACTACGTTGTGGGGACCAATCGCTCCTTGTGGGGACCGGAGCCTGGTCCCCACGAGGGGAAACCCTGTTTTTGGGTCAGGGGTCAGATTTAGGGCTAAGGTATGAATTGAGTTTTGGTTAGGGTTAGGGTTAGGTATGTGATGGTTAGGGTTAGGAAAAGGGTAAAGGTAAGGTTTAGGTTGTAGAAATGAATGGAAGTCAATGGAAAGTCCCCACAAAGATAGCAACACAAACATGTGTGTGTGTGTGTGTGTGTGTAAAGAGCAGATAATTGGAGGCCAGTGTGACACATTTTTCGTCTCTGTCTCACACTTTGTCAGGCTCTCTGGAGCCTGCGTCTCACCACAGTTCGAGGTGCTGTCTCTTCTCTGAGGTGATTTCCACACTCTTTCTCTTTAACGTCAGTGCTGGTGACGACGTCTTACCCCACTGTGCCCTTTTCAAACTTTAGTTTCATTAGAAACCTCCAGTATCACTTTTAGGCGCTCCTGATTTCTCTGCCTTTGTTGGGAAAATCCAACTTTCACTTGAAGTACATTTATTAATTTATCAAAATCGTATGTGGGATAATGCTAGGTACCGTAACAGTCTCTTTAAAAATAATTGTAAATAAAGCAATTTTTAATGCATAACTACTTTTTTTTTCTAAGATGACCAGTTTTAGAGGCTCTTATTGGGAATCTTTGACATTCTGTATTCGATTATAAATAGGACGTCAGACAGACGGCCGTTTCTTTCAGCCACTAGGCTGGATGAGGAGCCATGTTTATCTTTCCCCCACACACAGCGAGCAGCACGGTAAACGGGGTAAAGAGTGGCATCACCAGAAGCAACATTAGATGCCTTGTTTAGGAGTGAAGCCAGAAAAAAAGCTGTTTCTATCCTACCACCACAAACGTAACTCTGTGTGGTTTGCTAAAGACTACTGGGATTTTAAATTAAATGCTTTGGTCAGATGAGATTATGGCTGAAGCGATTAATTGGATTAAACGGATTAATCGTGATGAATCAGTTATTGAAATAATCATCATCTAATCTCTTAATAGATTAATTAACTGGAGTGTACAGGCTAAAAAAATGTATGTTTGCTGGAAGAACAACAGATTCAGACCAGTAGTTAAACCCTGAACTTCTTAGGTGGCAGTTTATTATAGAATATAAGCAACTTTTGCTATCCAATGATTACTTAAAAAATAGTAAACAGATTATTCCTACACTGTAGAAAAAGCAGAGCTTTTCACATGCTGTTGATAGAAGTATATTTTTAGCTGGAGTTGCATCCAGCTTGCGCTACAAGCCTTTAAGGCAATAAAATGTTTATTTTATTAATAAATTAATTTAATCATTTGCTTAATTGCATTTTTTTATGTGTTTCTAATACTATATATGTGCCAATTTTTGTGTGATTAATTGTACGATTAATTACTGAACTGATAGAATAATCGATTACTAAAATTAAATATTAGTTGCAGCAGTGTTTATTTTTTCTCATCTTTTCCGGAGATGCCAGTCAATGCATCCGTATTCAGGAAAGTACAAAGTGACAAGGAGCCATGTTCCTGGAGAGATCCCGGCATGGAAGTCCTCCAGGAAGCAGGTGATTTTCGACATTAAAGGATGATGACACTCAACCCGCCTCCAGCCCTCCCTTCCTCTTGAGAGCGGATGTATGAGTGTATAAAAGGTCAATAGTTAGAGAACAAGGTGACCCGGCAGCGTCCCGCTTCACTCAGTCACAACACGGCGCTTCCCCTCCCATGGCAGCGCGATCCGCGCCTGCACATGTGCGCAAATGAGAGGAAACGAGGAGGACATGTCGCTCAACCCCGAACATCCTCCAGACTCTTGGTGTCCAGCCGCCTCCACTCCACTGGCTGCGTGACTCATTTTTTCCACATCCCAGTGGATGTGAACAGAAGGCCAGCCATGCATGCATCCCTGCATTCTGGTTCATGCCTCGAACATGAACCCCCTTTTTCCCATGAGTCCTTATTGACACACGCCGTCAATGTGCACATTTACTAGCGAGACGAGATGAGATGCAGACGAGAACAGGTTTTTTTTTTTTTTCCTTCTCTCTCCAGCGGCTAGAAAGTCCCATATCCTGTTGGGAGTGTTTGGTTTAAGTAGATGGATTTAAAACCTCCAGGACCTGCGCTCTGTAAATGGCGCCTTGTGCCTGGAGGCCCGGCTGGCCTGTCTGCAGATCTCTGCTGTGTAAATAAAATTTGCTTGACGGACGCCATGAACAGACAGCAACAGCAAGCCGAAGCCTTATTAAACAGATTATTTTGGTACTCCACAAACAATAGGCTCATTTTGCCCGCATGAGCCTGTGAAAGTGGTTTAGACTCTACAGTCAGACATCAGGTGGCGTCATATTTTTTTTTTCTTTGTTCCTTTATTTGGTTTCCAAAGAAGACAGGAAGTAACAAAACAAATTCAGATTTGATGATTGCTTTTTTTTTTTTTCCACCTTGCTGCATCGGTTTTCGCTAAGCAACGGGTAACAAAAAAACCCACAACAAAAAACATTTTGTTTCACTTTTTTTTTTTTCCTCTTAGAGTCCTTGCATTCAGTTTCATACCTGATACGTGAGGCGTATCTTTAAGGCGTCTGCGAGCGCAACCCCTGACATGTGTTGCTTATTTGCACCGGCCTTGTTTTGCAGCGTCTAGCTGGCCCAGAGTCAGAGGAGTCAGACGGAGGGAACAGCCTTCCCTCTGTCTGTCTCC